ATAACTTTAGAATCAAAACACACTTAAGAGAATAAGAAAAACCAAAACTCAGCACAACATAAGATTTACAAGGAAACCCTCTCAATAGGGAAAAACCTTGGTTCTTGGCCTCAGCCAATAAATCCTCCACTAGTTGTATGCAAATTGCTACATACTCAGCTGTTTCACTTTCTGTACACACCTTATACCAGTGAAGACACTAGTTTTCACAGCCTCTACACACACACAAGCTTACTAAGTGCTAACTGCACTCCCCCAGTCCTAAGCAACACTGCTTAGACTCATAAAGCTCTCAATAGCTTAATCACCACTAGAATGAAGGTCTTAACACACCAAATATAGTTTACTTAAGTTGTTACACAATAAAAGAATTCAAAACACAGTCTTAAGTATAGAACAAAGTGAAACCCTAGCTTACTTACTTCTGCAATCAATAGGATACTTCTCCCACAGCACAATGCAGCTTCAACGAAGTTCACACTAGGTTCGCACAACCTTGAATTAGCTCAACAAACTTTCTCAAATTAATTTTGGATAGTAAACAACAAGTACATAATAGTTTTCTTCAACCAATGCTTCAAAACCCTAAACAAGGGTATATCGGTCAAATCACCCTGTAGCTTTACCCCTAACTATTCTTCTATATCCACAGCCTTGATAACTCAAAATAAACTTGCTCAATAGTTTGAAACAATGAATGGAGCAAAGAATAATAATCTCAGTTCACAATAGGCTTAAAATGCAATTAACCTTGGCTTCCAAGTTTACAGAGGCAATTATGTCAAAACACTTGAACCTTGAGCAAATGTAGGTTCTCATAGCTTCATATTATCATTATACACTTTCAAAAATAATGTTTTTAATTATCATAGCAAGATTAGGACATTTCAGCATAAAATCAGTAGCGAAACAGTTACTGCAAGGTCAATTTTTGTGCTGCTGTAATGCCTCTATTCAGAGGGTATAATTGGTATTCTGCATGGTCTCAGGCCTGGACAACACTTTCATAACCTTTTATCAACTTCACACAGAATCCCAGAGGTTAAGCACATCAATAAGTTCATTAATCACAGCCCCAAAAACTGTTATCAATTAGTTTCTGCAAAATAGCTTCAACTGGTAGCAATGACAATACACAGACAATATAATAGCTCTGTTCAGCTTTAACTACATCACTCTCAACTCCCAAACATTCACTTACACTTGCTTAACATATTGGATTCAAGAAATAGGTAAGGTATTGCAGTTTAATACAGGTTTCACAAGACAACAGCTTAGATCAGGTTAGTTTAGGCTGAGAACAGCAGCAACCTGATTCTAAGGGTAAAACTGGAAATTTGAATTTACTCAGGGCTTTTCTTGCTTCTAACAATCTTGTGTAATCATTATACTTATGTTCAAATGTAAATCACAGTGATTAAAATAAGATATCTCAATACAATTCTCAATTCTCAGCACACAAGGTTAAAACCTTAGCGAAATGTGGTTTATCAAGTCAAAACAGAAATCTGTCAATTTACTAAGTTGAATCCCATTTTAACCACTTCAAATCATCAATATAATCATGTTCAGATGTTAACCACAAGGTTCATAGAAGGTTGAAGCAAAGTAGTTCAGCATAGCAACAAATTCATCACAAAGTACTCAAAAATCAAGCTCTAACATATTCTAAAGTAGTGTGTATTTGGGTTTATACCTGATATCAGCAGATATCAGCAGCTGTAAATAGGTGTATTGGATTTGCTTCAACCTTCACTTAGCACCTTAAGCCTCTAGAACCTCATTTGACCTCCCAAACCAGCCTTGACAACACCTTTTAAGCATCTACAGCACTAGTTCCTTATAAGTCCTCAACAAGCTTTCACATACAGCAATTTCTGAGATTAAAAAGAGCTTATATAGTTGAATCAATACTAAAAAAATGCTCATTTAGCTTCTCTTCACATATTTTCTTAAGACTAGCCTTAATAATTGTTTTAGAAAATGTATTTTTAGGCCTTAAAAACCTAGCAGCAGCTATAGCATTGTTTTTATACTTAATCCCTTGTTGATGCAGCCCTAGAACAAATGGATAGGAATGAGCTGAGGTCCTCCAATCCGTGAGAAAAGTTATTCTGACATTATCATGGTGATAGTACCATTTTGCCCCCTTGCCAACTCACCTTGTAGTACATAAACCAGCTCACAATATCAATATTTAAGTATATATCATAAATGCCTTTCTGACCTTGAACCCCAAGAAATGTAAAGCTGGCCATAGTCTCTCACTCCAGGACCACTGTGCACATGTCAGGACCTTGTAGCTTCACATAAAATTATAATAATGCCCCAGCAAATGCCTACTAATTAAAATCATACTACTGTCTCATTTGTGGACCGTGTGATTGGTCTGTCACGATGAGAAAATGAGCTCAAACAAACAATGTAGCTTAATAGGTAAAGGTAATATGGATATTAGGATGTGTACAAAGACAAAAATGCCCATGTCAAGGGCTGTAGGCAAATTGAGTGTGTTGTTATAGAATTCACCAACTGTAAAGGGCTGCAATGACTTCCTCGATAATTCAGTGAGCAATGAGCTTATATCAACTTGTAATTCATTAAGTATTTCTCCATGACATGTCAAACTGCACTTGATCAAACCCCAACAAATCAATGCACCATTACAAATTGTTTTGAACCCTTTTTACTTGCATGTTGTCATTAAAAGAGCAAACCTCAAGATAAACATCTTAGGGACCAACAGACTCTATTTGGGGGAGCTTCTAAATTTTAAAATTCCTTCCATTTGAAGGCCTTCGCAAAATGTATTTCAATGGAAGGAATTTAAAAGAAAAAATTTGTTTGGTGGATGCAATTTTGAAATTCCTTCAACAATTAACATAGTTTTTAAGTTGACATTTTTATCCTTAATAATTAATTTAAAATTTTTATCTCCATAGACATTATTGAAATGCTTCCCTAGTTTATGCATTCCGTACCTACACACACATATATATATATATGCACACATATCTATTTAAAAACAATATATTATTGAGAAAGCGAACCTTGAAATTAAAGTAATAGAATTTGAATGGTATTAGAAGACTCCGTAGAGTACTTGTCCAAATCAGAAACTTCCTGTAATAATGAAATTTGAATGGGAGAAGAAGACTTTTAGCACAAAAATTATACGATCAATGACAGCAGTAAAAATTAGAGGCAGTAAAAAATGTTTGTTGGCTTAGAATTCTTTTTCTCTATTTTATTGGGTTCTTCATATTTTGTGACTTTCAGCAGAAAACAACAATTGAGAGAAAAGATCGGTTGCAATTTATTAATAGACTTTGAGGGTTAATATTGAATATTTGATATAATATGTAAGGGGATAATTTTGTAAAACATAATTTATTACTTTAAATATGGCTAACTTGGCAAGAATGTGTTTTTCAAAAGCCTCTTTTTTTGGCTTTAGTCTAACGGGCTTTCAGTGACTTCCATTCCTAGCATAAGCCCTTTACAAATCATCTACCAAACACTCTTTCTTTTTTTTTTTTTCTTTTTTTTTTTTTTTTTGGATGCCTTTTTGGACTTGAAAGCCCATTTTAGAGCTCCAAGCTAGAAGCCATGCCAAACACTACCTTAGTATATATGATATGAGTGATATTTACACGGAACACTTGCAATGAATTGTCTTACCTAATAATTTTTACTTGGCTATTTATACCAAATACAACTAAGTGAAGGGCTCCACTTCCTTATTTGTTGCATAATTAACCAATTAAAAGAGTAGGTCTAACAATTCACTACAACTATTCGGTGCAAGAATCATTTTCCATATGATATTGATGTATTCAATATTAATGGTTTTTTTGCTATATATATATATAAATTAATTGTTTTTAAACCGGTATATTTAAAGCCCTCAAATCATATCGAATCTTTGAGACGCCCATAAGTCGATTAATGGTATTCAATATTAATTTGCATAGATTCAAAAAAATTAATGAATAAATGAATAAAAGAGCTCACTTCAATGTTTGCTGTAATTATTTGTGTGTGTGTGTATATATATATATATCATAAGGTTTTTTCCAATTTATTTTTATTATTATTATTTTTCTTAATTGCCTCATGTCTGAGGATCGAATCCTTGACTCCCTTTAGCTTGGTACAAACAGCCCAGTAGGGAGAGATTTGTTGGGCTTTTTTACTTTATTCCTTTCCTGATTAGGGAAAAAATAAATCCATCACATTTAACAAATCACAACCAGCCCCTATATCTATCCGTATAAAAACCATCCACTTATCCTTGTTGTGTCAAGATTATTGTGACTTTCCCTTTATTACTTTCCTGATTAGGGAAGGAATTGTCAAGCATCTATATATATAAAAAGGTAAGCACAGCCACAGCCACAGCCACAGCCACATAAATTCCACTTTTTGATTGTGAAGTTTAAGATTATTGCAGACTTAGGTAAGTTCTTCTGGTTGTATATATATTCTTCTCCCGATTAAGTACTCTTCAAGGTTTAAGATTATACTGTTTTTTCTTATTCTGCTTTGAGTCCTTCAAAGTACGCTAAAAATCAGAAACTCGATCGGCTGGATACTTGTTACGGTAAATAGTTCAATAATTCGCACCTATTTTTTTTTACCTGAATTTACTATTTCTATCATGCATTAACATTCATATATATGCTCTAATAAATTCATTAGTGTATTCTTAAGCATGGTGTGCACCACCTGTGTGTGTGTATATATATTTTTATGGGTCGTGTTCGGGTTTGGGATTGGGAGATTTTGATATTGAGAATGGTTTTTCTTGACTAGTTTAAATTAATTTCACAATTGTAAACTAGGGGAAAAAAAATAATAATAAAAAATAAAAAATAAAAAATAAAAGGTAAAAATTCATATTTGTTTATAGCAAGTTTGTTACATCCAGGCTAACCACTTTGTCTTTTCACATTCCAGAGTGCTATTCTGGAGGATACGGGGGAGGAGTCAGAAAGGGCATGGCTTCCAAAGCACTTGCTGGATATCAGTCTGCACAAGTTGGTTTCACTCTCAGGATTTGGTGCGGTCCGTAAAGAATGGCCCTCTTTGGCCATGCAGAACAAAGTCAAATTTGTTGAAAATAAATGTTGCAGACAAGTTCCATTGTTGATGGTACCTAGGGAAGCAATAGCGATGGGAGACGTAGCTTATACAGTATCACTGATAATAAATTATATGATTTTCAGTTACAAGTACCTTACAAAAAGAGGTTTTCTGGTTCCTCACATGATTGGTTAGTTACCGTGGAAGAAAATTTTGGCTTAACCATAATCAACCCATTCTCTAGTGCCACCATTCAATTTCCTCCCATCATGGACCGTTCAATTTTCAAAGCACCAAAAATTGATGTAGAGTATTTTGTTACAAAGGTTATATTGTCAGATGACCCTACTTCGTCGCCTAATGACTATATTGCTACCGCCATCTATGGTGATTGCAAAACACTGGCATTTATTCGGGTCAGAGATGAAGCTTGGACTTACATAGATAAAAAGAGATTTCAGATCATCTCTGATGTCATATATTATGAAGGACAAATTTTTGCAGTTGATTATAATGGTGGAATCCTAATGATTGATGTTAATAGAAGGGCTGGGGAGAGTATGGCTCCACAAGTGGAGGTAATTGGACCAGACACTAATGTGTACTCTCAACCGATGTATCTCGTCGAATCATCTAGGAGTGATTTACTTCTTGTTTATAGGTTTTTAGAATATGATGATGATTCACAGCATACAACTTCAGGGTTTAAGGTCTTCAAATTGCTCTTGGACCAATTTGAGCAAGGTTGGCATAAACAGGTTGAAGTGAAGAGCTTGGACGGAGATACTTTGTTTTTGAGAGACAACCATTCCATTTGTGTTTCTGCTTCCAAATGGCCCGGATGCCAAGCAAATTCCATATGCTATACAGATGATTATACTAACATTCATTTCCATCCCCCATCTGGGCGCCGCGACATTGGTATCTACAACATGGAGAATGGAAGTTTTGGGACGCATTACATCCTTGATCCTTCACATAAGCATATGCCACCCTCAATTTGGATTGCTCCCACTACTGTATTTCATAAGCCTCTTTTGAGTAGAATCTAATTATTTTTTTTTATTATTTTTTCATCTTTATGTGCTGAAGCAAATCTATTTTTTCCATTGGTTGTAAAAGGCTAAAACTCCTGCAACTGCAGGATTCAGTTTTATTTGAGTTCGATTTGTTCGTTTCCTGATTAATCTCAGTTCAAAACATTTCATTTACTGCTTGGTACCTTTCTGCACATACGTTGATTTATAGACAAATGCTTTCGTTGTTGGAGTTTTGAAGATACATACATGCACAAAGTGAAATTTGTTGCTTTATTATTATTAATCAATAAATGTTTTAATTCTGAGCTAATATAATGAAACTCATTAGTGTATATGAACAAATTGTCTCAATTTGACAAATAGACAAGAAAATGCATTGTACCATTTTGGCAATTCTGTGATAAAAAGATAATATAAAATAATCCGGGCTTCAAATCTGGACAGTGAAATAAAAAAATAATTTTTTATTTTTCATATTCTTTAGGCCCAATAGAAATCAGCCAGATGATTTCAAGCCCAGAGTCAAATATTTATGGTGATAAGTGAAGTTTGGCAACAAAACCATGGCGTGATATAAGAAATTAGGGTAAAGTATAGTCACACCCCCTCAGGTTTGGTAAAAGGATACTTAAAGGAAACTTACTTGTTTTTTGGACAAAAACACCCCCTGAATGTTCAAAAATGGACAAAAACACCCCATTACATGAAAAATTGACCAAATTACCCTTTGACCGTTTAGGAGACTTTTTTAACTTTACAATTTAATAAATTGGACCAACCTACCCTCATGAATAATTTATGCATAAAAAAAAAAGTAAAAAAAAAACTTTATATAGTTCACATTTTTATTTTTTTTAATTTTTTTTTTTTTTGTAATTTACTTTATAAATGTTCAAACTTCTTAATAATGTAGATGTCTAAAATGATTTTTTGATTCAATATATATATTTCAAATAAATTATATTTTGTTATTACTTTCTTTTCTTTTTCTTTTTTATTTTTAAATTAAGATGCTTAATTCTATTATCTAAAAAAATTAAACCAATCTCTTTTCCATAAAAATAAAAAATATAGTACCAGTATAACTTTATGCATCTTAAATTATACATCAAAAATTATGCATTTCCCAACATAAAAGAAAATAGATACCAGAATAACTTTATGCATCTTAACTTTATGCATGCCTTTTTTTTTTTCCCTTTGTTTTACTATTTTTTTTTCCCTTTTATATTGGGAAATGCATAATATTTGATATATAATTTAAGATACATAAAGTTATACTGGTACCATATTTTTTTATTTTTAAAGAAAAGAGATTGTTTAATTTTTTTAGATGAAAGAATTAAACATCTTAATTTAAAAATTAAAAAAAAAAAAAGAAGTAATAACAAAATATAATTTATTTGAAATATATGTATTGGATCAAGAAATCATTTTAGACGTCTACATTTTTAAGAAGTTGGGACATTTATAAAGTAAAAAATTAAAATTAAAAAAAAAAAGTGAACAATATAAAAAAAAAAAAAAAATTCTTTTTTTTTTTATGCATAAATTGTTTCTGAGGGTAAATTGGTCCAATTTATTAAATTATAAAGTTAAAAAGGTCTCCTCAATGGTCAAAGAGTAATTTGGTTAATTACTCATATAAAGGAATGTCTTTGTCCATTTTTGAACCTTCAGGGGTATCTTTGTCCAAAAAACTAAGTAAGTTTCCTCTAAGTGTCCTTTTGCCAAACCTCAAGGGGTGTGGCTGTACTTTACCCAAGAAAATTATAATTGGCTAATTTTTTTTGTCAAAACAAGTCCTAATTTTAATTTCAAATTTCAAGTTCTAGATAGGAAGCAGAACTAAAGAGTTGTTTGATTAATAGCTTGATGACTTCGAAAAGGGTAAGAATAACAATTTAGGAAGCTTAGTTAGAAGGTAAGGACACTTACATGTTTGTTTTCAAAAAATAAGCATGGCCAATTTTTTCTAAGTGTAAAAGCCTACAGTTCATGTCTGGCCAACTTAAACCGGTTCAAGTGTTAATGCTTTGTTTTTTTTTATAAAAACAATTGGCCAAATAGAACCGGTTCAAGGGCAGCTGAACCGGTTTAAGTCTTTCAGCGGATTATGATAACTTTGTTTCCTACTCTGTTTTAACTTCCTATTTTGTATAAACTTTCTCCTAAAAGTTTATGCACGAAATAGACTTGTTTTCCAAGTACAATTAGGCTTTGAAAAGTGTATACAAACATATGGTTCTCACTTAGGTTGATATGGCATTTTGCATTAAAATTTTGATTTTCATTGAGAGCCTTTTTGTGAGATTTTTAAGAGCATAGACACTATATAAATACGAGTGAATTAGGGTTTTGTTTAATTCCTAATCGTGATTGAGTAATTGAAGATTCCATCTACAATGATCAGAGAAAGCAAATCTTATTTCTTCTACAACAAATTCAAATTCGAAGAAGATTTTTCGATCACACTTTAAAGGAATCAAGGCACTTGCGGAGTGTTGTTGATCTACCAACAATCCTTCCATAAGGTTCTAGTCAAGAGCTATTGGATGGGAAGTCGCAAAGCCAAGGACGTTTAGCAAATTTAGTTTTGGTAGAGTGAATGGGTGTGAGTCTGAGTCAAAGTTCGATGCACTTTGCTTCATACATAGTAAATCATTTTATACTCAGGATAGCTTAAAAACCTCGAGACACTGGCATTTATTCAGGCTGGAGATGAAGCTTGGACTTACATTGACAAAAAGAGATTTCAGAATATCTCTGATGCTATATATTATAAAGAACATATTTTTGTAGTTAATTATAATGGTAAAGTCTTAATGATTGATGTTAATAGAAGGGCCGGAGAGTATGGCTCCGCAAGTGGAGCTAATTGCACCGAATACTAATGAGTACTCTAAACCGATGTATATTGTCAAATCATCTAGGGGTGATTTACTTGTTGTACATAGGTTTTTGGAATATGATGATGATTCACAGAATACAACTTTAGGGTTTAAAATTTTCAAGTTACTCTTAGACGAATTTGAGCAAGGTTGGCATAAACAAATTGAAGTGAAGAGCTTGGGCAGAGATGTCTTGTTTTGGGGAGATAACCATTTTATTTGTGTTTCAGCTTCCAAATGGCCCGGATGCCAAACAAATTCCATATACTACATAGATGATTATACCAACATTTATCACCATCTCCCCGATATTAGATTATTCAACATAGAGAATGGAAGCTTTGGGTCGCATTACATCGTTGATGTGATACCCCCTAATTCTAGAGCCACAGGTTGATTAAGTCCATGTCCAAAACCGAGAGACACCAAACAATTAAAGTTATAGACAAACACAGATTACAAAAGATAATAAGAATAAATAATAAAGCCAAAATAAAAAATAATAATAATAATAATAATAAGTAAATAAATCCTCCAAGAATAATATCCCAATAAAATAAATCTCTAAATACACTGATACCAATAATCCTCTAGATTACAACTCGGGAATTGTGATACCCCCGAATTTTCGAATGCGGGTTGGCCAGGCCCACACCCAAATACCCGAGGATATCAAAACAAATTGATAATAAACGAACACAGAGTACAAAAGAATAAAAAAGAATAAATAAAATGCTGACAAGAAACTAAAATGATAATCTAATAATAAACCTCATAATATATTTCCATTAATTAATAAACTCTTCTGATACAACTGATCCTCTAAAATACAACTCGGGAATCCATACTGTGTGGACCCCTAGAAAATTGAAACTAAACAAATGACAGTAATCTAAAACAGGAAACTGAATCATAAAGGAACTCCTATGTAGCATCGGAAGGATGAAATAGACTGATCCCCGCTCAGCACGAACAACCTCTACTCGTGACGAACACCTGAAAAATAATGGTAGGTCAGGCCCACAAACAAGTTCTACTCTACTACAGTCCAAGCAGAGATCCGATACACGTATACATCCTAGTCAATCCAACAGTAACTAGTAGTCCGTATATATATATATACACAATAAAGGAACCTCACTAGACTATAGGGTTGTCTCAACTTGAATAGTAGGCAATATGCAAAACGCACATATAGTGGGCATGAGTACCTAGACCTACCAGGGTACACAACTACACTATATCTAGCTACACATCCCTGGCGATATACGCGCCCTAACCATTGATCATGAGACTCAAACTCATATCATGGCACCATACTTATATATATATAATCTAGTAACCATCCTATCCAGTATAAATTAATCCTCCATAAGTCATTCAACTTGTTCAGCTGACCTGACTTGAATATAAGTAGGACTTAACATTTTAGTTAATCCATTCCCTTATATAATAAATTAATCCTCCATAAGTCATTCAAATTGTTCAGCTAACCTGACTTAAATATAAGTAGGACTTAACATTTTAGTTAATCCATCGCCCTAACCATTGATCATGAGACTCAAACTCATATCATGGCACCATACTTATATATATATAATCTAGTAACCATCCTATCCAGTATAAATTAATCCTCCATAAGTCATTCAACTTGTTCAGCTGACCTGACTTGAATATAAGTAGGACTTAACATTTTAGTTAATCCATTCCCTTATATAATAAATTAATCCTCCATAAGTCATTCAAATTGTTCAGCTAACCTGACTTAAATATAAGTAGGACTTAACATTTTAGTTAATCCATTCGCTTATATAAAATAGGTAGGACTTAACTGATAAGTTAATCCATCCCTAGAATGCCACCGTCCCATACCGGTGCATTAAATCACACAATCCAACAATTGGTGTAACAATTAAGGATTCCATAAATAACTATGATAAATATGATATCAAGTTATCACATAATAGGAATGACTTATTATTTCTTTAAACTTCCTATATCATATGTCCTACACAAACTGAATCTTATACATGATGATATTTTATTATACCGTTAAATAAGGATTCTCTATATCCAATTCCTCCTACACATTTAATCTCAATTGCTAAAATATTTTAAAAGATTAAATCCATTCGTTTGTTTAAAACATTCAAATAGCAAGCATCATTATGATTGAGTCTATTTAAATTTATTAAAACCCAAACCTAGTCCCTATTTAATATCCAGGAATCCTAGGCATGTTTCTACATTCCATCATTCCACAGATATGAAAAATACATAATTTAAACATGTAAAAATTCACATAAGAAATCAAATCAAAATCATGCATTTTATCAATTCATAACACAAGAACAGATATGAACCAATTTCATAAAACCTATGTTCTAACCCAATTAAACATGCTTAATTATTTAATTTTATGTGTTTAATAAATCCTGGAATTTCCTAGGCATGTACAGAAACACGAATCAAATGGAAAGAGATAGAAGAAGAACTTGCCTAAAACTTTCGGATCGAAAGTTAAACTTCTTCTTCCTTGATCTTCTCTCTACAGGATTTTTCTCCTCATTCCTTCCTTTTCATCCTTCCCTCTCTAACACTATCTCTCCAGTATATATCACGTGAATATTTCTAACCCCCTTTTACAACCTATAGCTATATATTTATAGACTAAATAAAATAACCCTAACCCTTTTCCCAATCCAAGTCAACTAAAAAAAATGAAAATAAAAATATTAAAAAGGTAAGCAAAATATGTTACGTATATAATTTATGTATATGTTTATTAAATAAATAAATTATACACATTCCATTATTTATTAATGGATTATCCAATAATATTTAAGTTACCATAATATTATAAAGTAACTTAAAACATAACACGTATCAAATCTATGTATATTTTTATTATTTAAATAAACATATACATCAGATTAAATATTACTACCCAAATTACCATAAAAGTAATTAATAAATTATTTTCTCTTATATATATATATATATATATATATATATATATATATATATATTAAAAAGGTAAGTAAAATATGTTACGTATATAATTTATGTATATGTTTATTATATAAATAAATTATACACATTCCATTATTTATTAATGAATTATCCAATAATACTTAAGTTATCATAATATTATAAAGTAACTTAAAACATAACACGTATCAAATCTATGTATATTTTTATTATTTAAATATAAAACTTATACATCAGATTAAATATTACTACCCAAGTTACCATAGAAATAATTAATAAATTACTTTCCTTTTCATATATGTATATAATATATATACATACATTATCCATGGGTAATAATCCATACATATCCAACCTCCTATCCAAGTAGTCCATGAGACCCAATTGGTTAGCCCATTGCTATTAACCATAACCATAAAAGAAAAATAAAATAAAATAATAAAAGAAAAGAAAACATTTAATTTACAATTAATCAAAACACCATTTAAGCACATAATCTAATTAAACAATTAACACATAGACAAACACAAATAATACATAGACACATAATCAAATAATCAAGTAATACCTAATTCAATTAAACACATAAGCAATTAGTCAAATAATTTATTAAATAATTAAAAAATACAATTAAAACAAATAAATAAATACCGAGACTATCCTTTTAAAATTAGGGGTATTACAGGAATCCATAATGTGGACCCCTAATAAAATCCCAACTAAAACTATAATTAAAATAAATAACTAAATTCAAAGTCTGAAAGCATAAAGTAAAATCCTACGTAGATAATCAGAAGAGTGACGAAGGCTGATCTCTACTCTGCACGAGCAATCTCTACATCTGATGAATACCTGTAAAATAGTAGTGGGTCAGGCCCATAAACAAGTTATTCTCTATTACATCCTAAACAGAGACCCGATACACAAATACATTATAGATACATATAGATGGTCAACTTATACAATAACTATGTAGTCCATATATATACATAAATACACACTAAAGGACTCTCACTGGACTATAGGGCAGCCTCAACCAGATAGTAGGCAACATACAAAAATGCACACAGGTTGGGCATGAGTACCATGATCTACCAAGGTACACAACTATCCACTATATCCACCTATGCATCCCAAGGCAATATACACTCCTTAACCACCGATCGTGAGAACTCAAGCTCGTATCGTAGCATATATCCATATATATAGGGGCAGAGCCAGGATTCAATGTAAGGTGGGCCTCAGTATTAATAATTTTACTAATATAATATAATAATATTTTAAGTCAAAACTACTTCATGGTAGATTAGATGCATACAAAAATATATGTAGTCAAAATTTGGCCTATTTATTTACAAAACAATAATTGGCCAATATGTAGTCAAATATGAGAAAGATATATACAAAAAGAAACCTAAAAGATCAAACAACTACCACAATAGTTGAGTTCGACGATCTTTTAGAGAAGTAAAATAATCTATAATTGAATCTGTACTAAAAGTCTGAGCAATTTCTTTTTCAATACTGACACTCAAGTAATCTGCAAGAAACTCATCATCCATCCTATTGCGCAGTTCTGTTTTGACAAGTTTCATAGTTGAAAATGCCCTTTCTGTAGTTGTCGTGGAAACAGGAAGAGTCAAGACAAGACGAATCAACCTATTAGTCAAAAAGTAGATTTTTGACTTCTTTGTTTCTACTAATCCTCTACATAGAAATTGTTGACATATTTTTCAAATGTGAATGAACATGCACTTCAACCTCATAATGTTGCAATTGGAATGTCAAAATAATCCTCTCTTGGTCTGTGAAATCTTGAGGATAAAATTCATCAACAAAAGTGTAAATGCCTTCAACATTAAAGAATTTGTAACTATCTCTAAGATCCAAAGTTAAGCTAAGAGTAACAAGTTTCATTGCCTTTTCACTACATCTATTATTCAACTCCTGCAATTGTGAATCAATTGTGCTCAAGTGTAATATTCTCTTGTGGGTGACGTGACTGGCCCTTGATTTTTTTTCCGGATAAGGAACACTTAAATCAGGCACATCAATGTTGTGGCACTTAGAAAATGATTTTAAAATATCAAGTAAGTTGTTCCAACCATTTTCTCTCAATTTTCAGAATGATTTATTTTGTACTCGAAACCAATTGCATATCATTTATGATGTCTTGAGATTTTTGTTGTAAAGCTTGACAAAGGATATTAGTTATTCCCATGATATCTTTTATCAAATGCAAAATAAACACAAACTGAAATGATCTAAGAGTATTAAAAGCAGTATCAGCATTTCCCTGGATATTATAATTACATCCATCTTCAATGATGTTTTAAAGAACTGAACATGTTGAACCTAATAACCTTACCAAACTACAAACAAAATCAAAATGGGAACTTCAACGAGTATCTCCAGGTCATTGCAAAGTACCAATCTGATTAGCTCCTCGGCCGGTTTCAAGTTCATCAAGATTTATCAAATGAACAATCTCCATTACTTTAGCTACATTCATAGTTCATTTGTAAAAAGCTCCAATGTTATTGATAATGAAGTTCAACTTTGAAAAGAATTGATAAACTGTGATTACTTCTTTAGATGCAGCAACTAATGCTAGTTGTAGTCGGTGAGCTAAGCAAAGCACATAATAAGAAATAATACCTGTAAACCATTCCATTCACCATGCATATTGCTAGCACCATCATAACCTTGACCTTGGCGATTGTGAACATCAAGATTATAGTGAGAAAGAACCGCACAAAGATCCTTTTTAAAATTCAATGAAGTTGTATCTTTGACATGCACGAGATCAAAGAAAAATTGTTGTAAAAAACCATCCTTGTCAATGTATTTTTAAAATGAGAGCCATTTGCTCTCTTTTAGATTCATCACGAGGTTCATCAACAAGAATACAAAAATTGGCATCACCGATATCTTCACGAATCTTACTTCTCATTTTTCTAGAAAGAATATGCAAAATCTCCTTTTGAATTTGTGGTGAGGTATACTTGGCATTTTTTGGAGCATTTTCAAGAACAATTTTAGCGACGTCATTATTATATGACGCAAAAGCCTTTACCATTTCAATGAAATTGCCTCAATTACTTGATTAAAGGGATTCTTCATGCCCTTTAAAAGCACAAGTTTGATAAGTAAGCCATTGGACTGCATCAATTGTGACCTTCAATCTCAATCAGTTATTTGAAACTTGTTCAAAAGTTTGTCTAAGCATCGATGTATCAATATGACAAGGTTGATTCATTAAGTCCTTACATATTCTCACAGCAATGTTATAAGCAGAACATGGACATCCTTCCACAAGATTTAAGAAAGCACACGTACATATTGCCATTAGTAACTTTCTTCTAACTTCAAAATCCTTCACTAGTGAATGCATTGGTTTCGGGGCGCCCCGTTGGTCTCGCTCCAAAAAGAAAGCAAGGTAAGCAAAATGCAGCATCCTTTGAAGGAGAATATTGATCTCTAACCTGGTAGGAAATAATTTAAACCAATATGATTGAAATAGACGAGGATGCTTTTCCGATCCAGAAAACAAATATTCTAAAAGCAGAATTGGTATGCTTTCGCTTTGATATAAGCTCTTTGAACTTCATCACGTTTGTCAACAAGATAATCCCATATTGGATGACGTAATCCTGGTTCACATTCTAAAAAGGTAGGATCAACTTTTGTATGTTCAACTCTTGGAGATTTTGGAGGATGTTGGTTATCATGAACTTAAACATCAACATTAAAGGCAAAAGCTGCGGAAGGCACATCAAATTTTTTTTTTTTTTTTATTTTAAAAAAAGGCATTAATAGTTCCTTTTGGCTTCACCATCGTATAACACTATACCTAAAGAGGGTAATTCAAATATAAACTTTTAATACCTAGGGTTTTACTTTGTAATTTAAACCATCGATCCTAAATTCCTAATAAGCATAATTGAGTAAAAATAATATTGCACCCTCATTGCATATAAAACAACTAATTTAAAATATAAAAAAGTTATCACCCACAATTGTAGGCCTATGCAGTGTCTAAAAAATAAATTGTGCGTCTGTGCAGACTATAAAAAATAAATTATGCGCATATGAAGTGTCTAAAAAATAAATTGTGCTTCTGTGCAGACTATAAAAAATAAATTGTGCGCATATGAAGTGTCTAAAAAATAAATTGTCGCCTGTGAAGTGTCTAAACAATAAATTGTGCGCCTGTGAAATGTCTAAACAATAAATTGTACGCAAACTTTTTCCCAACTACTTGGGATTGATTATAAGAATCCTGTCTCTATATTATTCGCATCATATGGACTAATCTACCTAAAAAGTTATACACGAAAAAGTTATACACGAGTATATTTTGCATATAGGGACAAAAATATGCATGCTAAACTCGATGTAGAACTCCTACATTTGACTAATAACCTCTAAAATAACAACTTTTTCGCATTATGCTGAAGGAAAAAAAAAAAAAAAAAAAAAAAAAAAAAAAAAAAAAAAAAAAAACACCATAACTAATCACAGAAGCCACAGAGCCAAATGTAGTACATTTTAAATCACAAGATGAAGTGCAAGTATATACATTGTACAAATTATGAAATTATGATATAGATGTATATAAATTATAAACTACCTGATGGGGAAAAATCTATAAATAATTAGAAACAAAATCAGAGGAATGAAATTACCTTTGAAGCAATACCATACAAACCCTCCAAGCAATTCAGAATTCTGGTGACCTCACTGACGAAATCATTATTGAGAGAAACAGTTCACACGTCATAATGGCTCGATTTTTTATTCTTAATTCTTAGCATCTAATCGGATTCTCTACTGGTGTAGATCATAAACGACAGTAGAAATAAAAGGAAGCCGGTCCAAAATTCTACTATTTCGAAGCAGATCCATTCACTCAAAACAAATTTCCAACAAAATCACACTGTTCACACATCGAATCCACAAAAGTTCAGCAGAAAAGAAAATTAATCAGTTTAATCGATCAAAACGGAAATCGAAAGGACAGTAAGATGAAGAGTTCGAAACGTACGATACTGACAAGTACAGAGACGGAGAAGAAGACGAATAGCAAGGCTTTGTCACCGCTTTGTGCAGTTCCAATGTAGATAGTGTTATTGTAGACTACTTGGAGCTTGCGATTGGCAATTCCAAATTGGAGGCAGTATACTACGGCGTGTGCCCTAATATTAGGGGTCGAGTATACTACTTCATTTTTTTTTTTTTTTAAAATTATATATACTAATAAAAATTTTTGCTTGGGCAATAATTTATAGTTGTTTAAGATGTTAGATTGTGTAAAAAATTATTACTGAAAACCTACAATAGATTTTCAATTCAAAATTCTGCATAATCTGAAGTCGATGGGCATTTTCTGCTAGGGAAGAGAGGTGACGACTGACGTCTGATATGTGACGGGCCGAATTTACAAAACCCGGTACGTCAATGAGTAACCCGAAAACTGACACGATAAAGAGTCCAGAAAGCGGAAGCAAGAAAAGAGAAAGGTCTATGGAGATAAAAACAACTGCTAAGATAATATAGTGACCTCCTAAGAAGTCACGAGGCTCAAATAGAAGATAAATGCAGAAGATAAGGTTGATACGAACTAAAGACAAGAACAGGGGTAAAATGGTCATTTTACCCTAAGAGGAGTAAATTTGACTTCCAACAAGTCAAATGAGATAAAAAAAATATCCAATAATATCCTTTGGTAACCTCATATGAAGTCCTAAGCTCATTAGAAAAGAAACCCCATGAGAACCCTATCCTGGTTCGAACTAAATTCCGACACTCTCTCACTAAAATGAGGATATCTCGAGTTAGGAGTAGAATATGAAACTGAAATTGATACAATTGGAAAGCTTATTTCAATGTGGTCAGTTTAGACTGAAGAACAGACCAATTAGGAGTTAAAACGAAAGAGATAAGGTTGTTTGAAATTGGAAGGCCAAAACTGAAATTTTGTAACAAATAAAAATAATAATAAAAAAAAAAAGGAAGAAGAAGAAGAAGAAGAATTTATGGGGAACTTGAACTGGTTCAGGACCCCTGAACCAGTTCAACATGGGCAGAGTGTGTGACGGCCCAAGTTTTTCAATCCGGTGCGTCAGTGATGACCCGAAAGTTGACCCGATAACGGATCCGAAATGCGGAAGCAAAAGATGAAATTATAGTTCCTTGAGATAAAAACCATCTCTAAGACATCAATGTGACATTACATGAGGTCACAGAAGTTAAAGTGAGCAAAAGAGGAAACTAGAGTTAAAACGGGTAAAATTCGTCAATAAAGGGCAAAATAGTCAATTCACAAATAAAAGGGGAAAATTGACTCTAAACAAGTCAAACAATGTGAATAAAACCTAATTTAACCATTTCACAACATTCCAAGAGGTTCTAAGAACATTGGCCAAGAATCCCGCAAAATGCCCTTTTCTGGTTTAAACGAAAACTATCACTACCTCACTAAAACTTAAATAAATCCCACTGTGATTGGAATCTTAGAATGGCATAGTACCATTGGAAAGCTGACTTAAAATCCATGAATTTAGGCTTAAGAATCACCCCATTTGGATAAGAAATGAAGGAGATATGGCCATTCAAAGTCGGAACAACAATGCTGAAACTAAACTGAAGGAGCTGGAGTATGAAAGCTATTTAGGTTGACCTAAATGGAGTTTCAATCGACCGAAATGACCAAAAAATCTGCTGAAAACATGAATTTAAGTGCTGGTTATTTCAGTAGACCGAAATAAAGGTTCGGTCGATCGAAATAGGCCTTGAATAGTAGAATTGACTACTGGAATGATGAATTACTATGCATAGACAAATCCAATTGCCATCGGTCGACCGAAATGGAGTATCGGTCAGCCAAAACACCTCGAAATGCTACTGGAAAACCTGTTATGAGTCCAAGGTGCTAAGGTTCAACCTATACTTTGAATCCCATGACAATTTGGTTCAAGATGAATGTGTAAAACTAATTTTTCATTGAAATTCAAGTGTGCGGATATGCCAACAACTTTGATATAAATACTTGAATGTAAAACAATGGCCCATGGCCTCATACAAAACAATTACAAGATTTTCGTATGTCAAACCTCCAAAATTAGTTCAAATACATTTTGAAGCAAAAGTTTGATATCAAGAAAGTACAACTACAAAAGTGAACATGCTTGGTCCTTAGCCTCTTTACATACATACTTATAATGTCAAGTGTAAATACTTAAGTATCATTACATGTTAAGAAAGCTACATAAGCTTCTAAAGTACCACACACCCATGGTATACAAAATGTGACATCAAAAGAAAGGCATGCTAAACACTTGCATGTCAATACACAAAAATGCTTCAAATAGCTCATAAGCCTCTAAGGATAATGAGCATCCAAGAACATAGTCTCTTTACCTGAAAAACAACCCAAACCACTAGGGTGAGTAATCAAGTTACTCGTAGGAAGAAGCATATGCGTATACCCTAAAGTTTCAATATCATTGCAAGATCAATATAGATGAATACAAGGGAGCATTCCTCTTAACGTCTATGTTCAAGGTGTTCTATGGGATCATCTTAAGCTAACTTAGATGAATCTAGCAACACAATAACAAAATAGATATACTTAACAACATCAAATCGCATAAAACAAAAATTACAAGTTACAATTTAACCATTGATTATCAACTTGGAATTGAATGTGAAATCAAAAAGTGGAATCCTTGGACATCTAAGCTCGGAATTCTACCGAGACCTCAACGGTTGTTCCGGGCATTAACCCTCAGGGAAGACCACCCTAAGTGCGCACTATCTCAATTGGGGAGAACTCATACCTCCCGTACTAGAGTCAAACTCTAGCCATGTTACTAGTAACCATGTCCCAAGAGAATCCAAAATATATCAAGTTCAAAACTTATATACTATAATTTAAGGCATGTAAATCACCTTCCATACACAAGTATTTTGAAACCACACGAGCCATGTCTTAGGATTCCAAGTCTAGAATGGCATAATGAATGACAAGTCTTTAACATAATATAATGTGCAAAGAAATACCACTAACTTATCAACTTCAATCATGCCTCAACAATAAGCTTTGTATACTAAATCTTAACATTTTAGTAATAAGCTTCTAAAATAATCACAATTACCAATAATAATCTACTAGCATGTAGGATTATCATCACAATAGTATAGTAATTCAATTCAATAAGAGTTCTATACGACATCAACAATCCTACTTAAGATACATACACAATATACATGTTTAATCAATAAAACCCTAAGTCAAGCATAAGGATTTCCTATAGTATGCAATACTACAATTCTAAAAGTATGTATACAATATATAATAAACCCCAAAGAATTTTAAAACACTTAAAATATAAACATACTACCACCCATACCTCAATAGAGAATTGAATTTCTATAATCCAAGCAACCAAACTCAAAATGTAAAACAAGTTTAGGGTTATTGAAGAGGAGAGTGAGGGGAACCTTTTGTGTTCCAAGGTTTTAAGTCTAGGGTAAATGGAAGGAGGCCAAAAATGAAGTCAAAGCTATTAACCAAGCTTTTCTCCAATGGTGGCTATGCTAGGGTTTTGAAGAACAAGTGAAATGAAGAAAATAAAGTGTGTAATGGTGAGTGGAAGGGCTAGAAATCCTCCACTCACTATGTGTTCTTACACTACCTCTCACACACACACAATGCAAGACTTATTTTGGTGCATACACTTGTCACGAATCCAAGGCTCCTTCCTAGGCTTAATCCTAAGCCTACACTTGTCAACCATCTAAGCCAACAAGTGCACCAATCCTAGGCCTATATGTGGGTGAATCTCCACCCTCCAAATGTCAAAAGATAACACATCCAAATCACTCTACCCCATTGCCAACAAGTGGTATTATGAGAATGTGACACTTGTCACATTTTTCAAAAATTGCAAAAAGGTCCTTTTAAAAAATATCTTCCAAAATAAATTACAAAATAGTCCCCAATACGAAAAATAATTACTTTATGTAATTACACTAAAACCTAAAAAATAAAGAAGAATTATAAGAAAGTATGCATTCATGCCCTTTATGAAAAAGTAAGCAACTAGAATGTATTTTCTACAAAAGTAAAAATACAAATATCATGGAAAACAAATATCATGAATGTATGCAAAATCAGAATCAAATCCGAGCACAAAAAATGAGGTTATGCAAGCAAAATTGATAAACGGGAAAAAGACGAAATAGGGAAAGGAAAAAATAGGAAAAAGACGAAAAAAGAAAATCGCTGAAAAAGGAAAAGGAGGAAAAAGACCGGGTCATTACAGAGTGCCCACATTAGGCCTGCAAAACACCCTTAAACTGGTTCCAAGAGGCTGAATTGGTTCCACCTAACCAGAAAGATGGAAAATGGCCCAGAAAACCTAATTTTGGTGCAAGGGGGTTTAGGGACAACTCTATGGTCACATGGAAGATCATTATGGAAATCTCTAACCTTCCTAAACATGAAAAATGAAATGTCCCAAGCTCTTATTATAGATAGGCTAAGAAAGAATGAAAATGTCCCCAAATGCTTACAATACCTAAAAGGTAAAAACATGCTAGAAAATGATATACTTTCAAATACATTGAAGTGCTTGGCCCCAGCCTCATTACATATAAGTTAAGTAGCATCAAAATATAGTGTTTGGGTACTGATTACTCATTCAAAAGAGGAAGCTAAACATACTTCTAATTACATTAAACATTGTCAACCTTAAAAGAGACAACGATTTCATGTTAACACTTGCATGCCAAAAATATACAAAAGATACTTGAAATGTAAATACAAGCTGAGCTATAGATGGTTCGCATCCAAGAAGAGTGTCTCCATGCCTGAAAAATAAATATCAACTAGGGTGAGTAAACAAGTTACTCAGTAGGATGATGTGTATGCGTATACCCTAAAGTTTCAATGGTTTTTGTAAGTGTAATATAAAACCAAACACATGTGGATCATGCCTCCTAACGTCTAGCTAGTTAATTTCGTGGGGAAGCTAAGGGATCATCCAAAAACTATAGTTGAAAGCAATCCACAACAGGTAACGTACTAAACAATATTAGAACATCTAATGAAATAGAACAAGTTAGAACTTCAAGCAATGTCAACTTGTAAAATGAACGCGAAATCAAACAATAGGGAAAACTTGGAAGTAACATCCGGTTATGAACATCACAACGCTAGATAATTAGTTATTTTAGGCTTCTAACCCATAAAGAACCACCTAAGTGCGCACTCTATTAGGGAGAACTCATACCTCCTGCACTAGGGCCTTACCCTAGCCATGTCAATGTATTAATGCCCCAAGTATTTCC